CGATAATTATGTGCTTGATGAGAATCGCTTTAGAATATTCCCGCATGCGAGGTTCGTTTTTGATGTGGCCGTATGAAATTGATGAACTGAGAAGAATTTATCTCACGATCAGTGTTTTAGTCCATTCCCTCGTTCCAATTAAATCCTCAGATGATTAAAATTATTTCATCAGATTAAAAACAGCTGTTATACCCTCTAAAGAATAGCGAAAATGGTTGCGAAATTTGATTGATGAGCGATTTTAAGGTTTGGAGCATGTGCATTTCATGAGATCATTGATTTCTGTTCACTGTTGTCGGTCTTGCTTCCTGATCATAGACTACATAGATCATAGACTTCCTGATCAAAACCGATAGTTTAGTTCATACAAACTTATCAAATATGGAGAACGCTCGGAAATTTTGATTTTCTGTCGAGTGGGTAATAATTTTATTCAGTGGATAATGAATTTTATTTTATCCAATGGATAATAATTTTTTATCCATATTATCACTATTACCGTGCTCATATTATCACGTCGTCACCATATCAGTGATAACAACCTTGAAAGTTGATGTCCATCACTGAATCTTCTCAGAGATAAATTCCACCGAGCCGTTGATATGTGTAGTGGTGTTCCATTTCATCAAGTGATTATCGAAGAAAACGCTTTCAGCACGAAAGAATTCTTGGCTTTATTGGATGAGATCGTTCGACTGAATATCACATCAGATGCGGCACCGAACCGTAAAACACTCCAATATTTAAGCCAGGCGAATTTGTTCGATTCAATCACCAAACATTTGAAGCAATCGNGCTGCATTCACAAGCGAACAACATTTTCGTGATTACATCGGACGGGTCGTCGGAGGTGGAGTGGATGAGAGCGGACAGTTTCATCTCGCGTTGCCGTCGAATCAAATGAGTGGTCATCATAACATTGAACCAATTGAACGCGTTTTGTACGAAATCAAAGCTGACAATGTTACCGTTGAGCAGTTAGAGGACGGTGTGGTGAGCCACTTTCTGCAAAACACAACGGCCGGTGAGCGCTTGAGAAAACATTGGCAAAATGTTGCTGAAGTGAGGAGCCGAATTGATTTGATTGAGTGGCTGTATTCGGTGGTGAAATACTTCCCGTTGAGTGAGCAGTGCGCAAACAAATACATTGAACATCGTACGTCGGATACGAAAACTTTCAAGGTTAGTTATCGAAGTTTTTGTTTCGTAATTGCTCATCTTTCAGTGGGAATGTAGCATATGAATTGGAGTTTTCATTTCATTCATTTTGTGAACATTTGAAATTATTGAACAAGCAATTTTTAATGTAGTCGTTCACTTTATGT